CAGAGTGAGAAACTTTCTCCAAACAATCGGAATCCAAACAACAAAAGATAATACAACTGAAAGAAGTCCATACAAAACATAGCTAGAGGGCTTATGAGATTGCTGTCACCTGGGTTACGTGAGGCTTAGACGTATAGTGTAGAAGATGGAGAAAATTCCAAGACATGGGACAAAGGTAAGTCACGTAATATGTGTAGCTTCGTAAACTACATGCTCTTTAAAACTACACATATGCATAAGTTTATGTTACATGTATTGAGAAAGTCGTATGCATTCATACCAAATAAACAAGGATGACTCTAAGGTAGAAAGTAAGAAAGTGGTAGGAAAGAGCTGTTTTCCTCTGTGTGTTCAACTTGAATTTTTATAGAGAATCATGTTTTGCTTAGAAATTGAATCGGGAGCTTAATAGTGACACTCACTTATATAATCGGAAGATTATTTGTGTGGGACAGGCTTGAGACACATAGTAACTTCCAGGCAAGCCTGGGCTATCTAATGAGACTCTGACTCAAATATAACAAAATATGTTTAAACATCTGATTTCATTGTGAAAGTGAATTGGAGAAACGGTAGCAGTTCTGCAGTAGAGAACTGCTGAGAGATGTGTAGTGGTCTGATTTAAGAGGAACATTCATGAGGATTTTACATTTTGTGGTTCTGGGCTGACTTATTCATGTCATCAGGTATTTCAGTTGTCCAGGTTAAGATTCCAAAATGCAGGAATGATGACTCGAAGGAGGAGATATGGCAAAAATTTAAGAGTTCGGGAAGAGAGTAGGTAAAACTGAGCTGTCTCATACAGGAAGACAAGCAGATGAGTGGTGTGGAGAATGAGTTAGGCTACTGTGTCGATCTATGAGAAGTTCTCATTGAGGGTGACTAGCTGGTGGTTTTCAAGAACAGGCTGTGCCCCGAGAGTCTCTTGCATTTACATTTTAAGTCATTATTGTTGGTAGTTATGATGGTCAAAGGCAGAAAGAAGCTTAAATATGGAATCCCAGGGGCACTAATATGTAGGGAGCTAACATAGCACCTGGAGTTAAAGAGAGGCTCTTCTCTGGAGGAGCTGCATCCCTCATTCCAAGGATGATGATATGAATGGCCAGTAGTGTCATATTCCATAAATTTGGCAGGACACGAAACATGGAATGGTAAGGTCCAGCATTAAGATTTAGAAGACTAGGTTATGGTTGAGAGCCCCCTAGTGGAAGGAAGTGGGTGTTTAAGCACTTGGAAGCCCCCAATACAGCTGAAGTTCAGAATGTGAATGGGGCCTCAAGACTGTTTCCACCTCCTTTTATAATGTATGTAAGTTATATGTAAATTTGTCTTTACTTCTGCCCCACCAGAGGTAGAAAAGAGGATTTTGAAGAGCTGAAACTTTTACAGAGATTTTCTTCTACAGCAGGCAAGGGAGTGTCAGGGAATTTTTCTCCCAAGGGAAGTAGCAGAGCTGACAGGCAGTGAAGAGAAGCTGCTGGGACCTGAATGCCAAGTCCACCAAGCTTTCAAACCAGCCCTTGAGAAAAATCATTTCCAAGTGTGACCTTTGCTGTTTAGCTGTCTGTTTGGCAGTGCCCCTTCTGGAAATGGCTGACTGTACTTTATTTCCTGCATTGTTGTCTGAGTCTGAGGTGTGTCAAGAGGACACTTGTATCACTTGCCCCTCCCTTTGTTTTTATTAAATTCATAATTACAAAGAGAGAAACTTGTGTGACATGCTTCTAAATTCGGTCACATGAATTGTAGACAAAGGGCAAAAGTGACCTTTTTATAAGTCTTCATTCACTTTAATTACAGTATTTCTAAAAGAATCAACAAGAAGCTATAATATTCAGTGTCAAATTCCAGAAATTGCAACTTTTATAGAAAGATTAAGGAAGCTGTAGACGTAGAAATGTAGGAAAGTTTACAATTTTAGATTTGTAATGTATGCCTGTAAGCTTTTGATTATATAGATATAAATGTGATACATAACATATAAAATTATATTTTCATAAAAGTATGTACTTCCTGATTTGTATCAAGTGTATAATACATATTAATATATATTTTATCTACTTTTTAAATTTCAGAAATTTGTGGGGATGTTTTTAAAATATAAGTACGTACAGTAGGTGACAACTTGGTGACTTTCATAAAGTACAGGCACCTACCTTCTGTATCAGTAAAGAGCATCACTGGCTGCCACGTAAACTTTCATTCTCAACCTTTCTTTTCCTGCATGGTTACCAGTATTTGCATCCCTATAGATAGTATAGTGTATGGCTTTTGTGTCTGGCGTTTGGGAGGCAGCTTTGTTTCTGTGAGGTCTGCCCACATGGGTACATAAACTAGTAGTTTATCATTTTCTCGTGCTATGGCAGTCTGAAGTAGAGGACACAGCTATCATAATCTTTGCATTCTGCAGCTGATGGCTATTCAGCCTTTGAACCATGGGATGCTATGTGTAATGCTCATTTATGAGGCTTCTGGTGCATGTCTTTTGAGTATGTTTGTGCTGGATAAGTACTCATTTCTATGGGCTGTTTATCTAGAATTTACCTTTCGTGGATATTGTTAATTTGTTTCTCAAAATAGCCCTGCCATGTATGATTCCCATGACCATACTAACACTAAGTATAATGGCTCATTGTTGCTAAGTTAGTTTTAGTTTTTGATTTTTTTTTTTCGTAGCTTTTAAAAAACATTAAATTTAACTGGGCAGTGGTGACGCATGCTTTTAATCCCAGCACTCGGGAGACAGAGGCAGACGGATCTTTGTGAGTTCAAGGCCAGCCTGGTCTACAAGAGCTAGTTCCAGGACAGGCTCCAAAACTACAGAGAAACCCTGTCTCAAAAAACCACCAAAAAAGAAAAGAAAAAATTTAAATACATGGCAATATTTTGTAATGAAAATAAATATATTGTAACTGATATCCTTTTGATGGGCTATTGCTACCCTTGCCACATTCTACCTTGTGAGCTCTGTGGTTAATTCTGTGTGTATTCTAATGTGAGGAAAATTTAATATTGGAGCAAGCTAACAGATTTCATACTTTTTCTTAACAATTTTTTTAACTTCCCTGTTTTTTACCTATGTGATAATAGCAGGAAATCCATTTGAATGGTTTTATTTGGTTATCAAGAAAATGGATTTTGATTTTATGGAGACAGGGTTACTCTGTGTAGCCCTGGTTGTCCTGGAACTCACTCCATAGACCAGACTGGCCTCGAGCTCACAGAATTCTGTCTTCCTCTGCCTCCCAAGTGCTGAGATTAAAGGCATACGCACTACTGCCCAGCCGTTTTCTTCATGCTTATTTTAAGAGTAGTATAAAGAAGATACCATGGTGCCTGAAGCTAGATTTTGCTGAAAAAACACCACTAATTTAATTGTCCAGAATAATTAACAGCACTAGCTGCCAGAACCGGCATCGCATGGACCCTCTACCATAGGAAACCATCTCTGGGGATTACTCGAGAGCATTTTCAAAAAGAAAATCTTGTCCTTTGGAAAAGAAAGATGGTAGATGAGTGAGATGACTCACTGGGTGAAGGGACTTGATGCCAAGCCCGACAACCCCCGTGTTGTTCAGTTCTGAATCCCCAGTGATAGAAAAGAACTGACTTTCACATGTTCTCTGACCTTGTGCACTGGACACACACACACCCTACACACAAATGTTAAGACGAAAAGTAAGTTTTTAGTCAGAGAACTTTCCTTCATAATGTTCCTTTTAGCTTCTCCCATGTTCTCAATAGTTACCTTCTGACAGGAGTTGCTAAGTGTCTGAAAAATCCTGAGGTCTTGCTTTTACTTAACATTTGATAATGTCATGGTAGCCCTCCATTCTGTTGAACACCATAGCTTTAGACTGCTGTTGGCACAGTGGTGTTTGGCGATGTCCTGTTGCTACAGTAGGTATCTTAACCCTTTGGAGCAGTGGTTCTCAACCTTCCTAATACTGTGACCCTTTAATATAGTTCCTCATATTGTGGTGACCCCCAACCATAAAATTATTTCATTGCTACTTCATAAGTGTAATTTTGCTACCATTATGAATCATAATGTAAATATCTGAAGCAGGATATTGGATGTCGCAACCCATAGGTTGAGAACCACTGCTTTGGAGACTTTGAGAATTTTCAAACTCTATCATAGCCAGATGATCTTTTGGAAATGCCTGCTTGCTTGCTTGCTTGCTTGCTTTCTTTCTTCCCAAATTTCTCTGATATTGCCAGTTGTATATTGGATTTTTAAGAATATAATGACCAGAATGAGTGTGTGATTCTTGAATGTTTTGGAACATTCTTTTGACTTTCATATGTGCAAATCATCCACCTCTCTAAGTAATCGCTGACAAGAAACTCTTAGCAATAGCAGAGAACTACTGTTGGGTAGTTTGTTGTTTTGAAGGGAAGTCATCTGGAAACTGCTTTTAGCTGCTGAACTTTCTTGAGAGGTCACGCTGTAACCCAAGTCCACAAGTCTGCCAGCTCTTGCTCCTCTCTACTAATGGAGATGGGTCTGAGATGCTTCAGTGAATTAGCAAGTAGCCCGAAAGCTTATTGAAGACAGTGTGTTCGATGACCTTTCCCTTCCTAGCCTCTAAATCTTTTTATTAGTGTCAATAATGAGAAATAAAACTTGCTGACTAGATCTTTCTCTCACACAATATCTGCTAGAGTGTCTCATTCTTAAACAGATGTAGAATGTAGATCTGACAAGTAGTGTTACTTGGGCATCATCTTGATATCTCTTGGTTACAGACTCAGTTTGCAGATTAATTCTAGAAGACACTTTAAAGTCTTTGTTGACAAAATGTTTGACTTCTTATAGATAATTTCTGCGTATGTCCTAGTCATGGTGGTCAGGGTAGTGTTAAGGAGTTTCTTCAAGTTGTAGCTTCCTAACACAGTCATATGGAGTCAGCACTGAGGAACTAAAACCAGCAGAGCCCTCATTGACATGACTGATTCCAGAGCCCCATCAAAAGCTGTTTTCTTTTCTGTAGGTATCAGTCAGAGCCGGATCTCTCATTGGCTGTTGCAGCAGGGGTCAGACCTGAGTGAACAGAAGAAAAGAGCATTTTACCGATGGTATCAACTTGAGAAGACAAACCCTGGTAAGTATTTCTTTTTATTTATGTGCCTAAATGAAAAGCATAATTATTTCATTGAATCCATGTGCTAATTTGTCCAGAGAAACTGTTTCATGCTTTAGTGTCTTCCTTTATGTGAGTAGGCAACTATAAAACCTAAACCGTGGTCGTCATTGTGTTTAGGTTTCTGTTTCCTAGGCCACTTCACTTCCTCCTCTCAGCCACCTCTTGACTTCCCGATTAGGAGATTTTCTGTGCACAGTTTGGAAGAATGGTAATGGTATCAGTGGCTGGCTCTCTTTTCAGCTGTGGGTGCACAAATAAAATTTACCTTTTTTCAGTTTTTGGAAAAACATGTTAATTGGTGTGTATTTAATATTTTTATTGAGTTCATTCTTTGCCCATTACTAATGGTTTTGTGTCTTTAATGCCTGTGACCTGGGTAATAAATGCATTGTGAAATTTTAAGGTAAAGCTGTTCACATAACTCCCAGAAACAGCACTAGACTGGAAAATAAAATGAAATCTTAAGGGTAAAAATCATGAAAGTCTTGTTGTCTGGAGTTGCCAAGAATAGGCAATATTTATCCCAAGATAATTTTAACAAGTGATAGATCAAGAAAAATATGATGTCACGGGAGTGGCTGTCTTGGGGTGCACGTTGCAAAGGTGATGATAGTGAACCTCATCTCAAGTACACTGTTGCCATTGAGATGCCTTCTCCAGTCCTCTGCATAAAGCCTGCAGGCACCCCAGGCGAGGGGCTGCACTCAGCAGTGCTAGCCCGAGCTGCAGACACAGCAGTGACTTTTAGGGTGTGTATACGGGAAGTTGTGTTAGTTTTTCTCAACAATTGCATTCTTAACCCAAAATGCCCTGGTAAGATGAAGCAAAACAGAAAGTATCAATGCATACAAGGAATTTCTAGACTCTGTTCTCCCCCACTTTCTCTTTTGAAGTGTTATAGATACACAGACATTTTAAAAGACCAACAAGGTATTTAGTTACCTTATTGGATAAAAAAATTATGATCATTTTGCTGTTTGCCAATAATTGTTAAGATTTATTTGTGTGTCATGTTCTAATAATCAAGGTAGTTTCCTATAAAAATTGCAATCTCCATTATTGTACCTAAGAAAAGGAATATTTCCACAATTGTTAGTCTTTTATCACATCTCTCTGTTACAAAGGTGCCTTGTATAGCTTAATACCTGTTTTCTCCCTCTCTGTCTTTTAATAAGCAGTATCAGTTTTAGGTCACAAATTAGGATGCTTCTCTAGCCTCTTAAATTGTCCAAATTTTTTATTTTTTAATGATATAAACTTTTTTGGGAGGGATCTTTTCAAGACAGGGTTTCTCTGTGTAGCCTTGGCTGTCCTGTAACTTGCTCTGTAGACCAGGCTGACCTCCAGCTCACAGAGATGCTAGGGCTGGGATTAAAGGTGTGCACCACCACTGCCTGGCTAAAGTAGCAAAATCAAAGGATGATATTTCTTCTTCTGCGGGTACTTTAGAGTTGCTGTTATCTCTAAATACGGTGTTGCACCTAAGATGAGTTCTCTTCTCTCTGCCTGTTAAATAGTTGCTTGGAGTACCTCACATTCATCTTTGCAAGATACTGGAATCCTCTGACTGAGAACTGGTTAAATTCTCTACAGGATAATATCGTAGGATTGTATAATTATTTTTAGTGTGTTTTGTTTGAATTATATTTGCATGCAGTGAAACAGCATTCAGAAGTTAAAAATGTAAGATACGAAGCAATATAATCTGTATTCAAAGAATATGCACATACACACATGTGCGTGCTTGGGATTGAACCCAGGGCCTTGTGCATGCAAGGCAGGCATTTACCATTGAACTGTGACCCTTCTTTGACTTTCTGAATTTTAGACCATGTAGTCTGTGTTTGGAAAATGTGTAATATTCCTTCCACATAATGTGTAATGGAAGGAAGGAGGGAAAAAGAGATGTGAAAATCAATTTGTTTACATTATAGTAACAAGAGACGAGCTCAGTTCCTGAGATGTGGTCCCACAACTTATCTGAAGCAGTTTAGAGAAAATAAGCTATGGGTAGGCTTATTAGGAGGTGGTTGCTGTTACCACGCTCTATCCTCAACCCAGCAGACAGGTCATAATGAGAAATGTAGCTAGCATTATGTTTTCACATGCATTCTGAGAAGAATGTAAAATTACGGCAAACCACAAAATGAAAAGCTGACTTTTCTGTTCTCTGATACTGAACTATCTGGCAAACAAACAGCTGTATTTGTGGATTCTTTGCCTACTCTTGACCTTAACAAGACTTTTGGTTGCATTCCTTGAATGAAATTTTCCTTTCAACCTCCTATCCATTTGGATTTTTTTCTTTTTTTAAAAAAATTTTTTTATTGATTTTATTGAGCTATACATTTTTCTCTGCTCCCCTTCCTGCCTTCCCCTTCCCCCTCTACCCTCTCCCATGATCACCCTGCTCCCAATTTACTCAGGATATCTTGTCTTTTTCTACTTCCCATGTAGATTGGATCCATGTATATCTCTCTTAGGGTCCTCATTGTTATCTAGGTTCTCTGGGATTGTGAACTGTAGACTGGTTTTCTTTTCTTTTAGACAAAAGCCACTTATCTGTGAGTACATATGATATTTGTCTTTCCATTTGGATTTTTTTTATAAGGACTCTTTTTACAAAGTTCTTTTTACATGAACTCAGCAAGAAAAAAATAGAGTTATTTTGACTGATAATCCAATACCTATAGATACAATGTAATAATCAGATAAATAGACCCATAATCAGATATTCCTACCACATTCTAAAGCCTGATAAGACTTCTCAATAAAGCAAATTAATGGGAACCAATCATGTGCACTTTATATTGTTTCTTATGACAACATTTACAAGAAAATGCCTGTTTTCTTAAAGAACGGAGTTTAAATTCAGTGTGTTTGCTGTGAGAAAAATTCCTTTATTCAAATTAAGCTCCAGTCTTCTCTTGCCTGAATCAATCATTGCTATGGCAGACAGGGTTTGTGGGGCACCTGCAGGCTTGAGACACTGATCCTTCAGACTTTTCACATTAAACAGTCTGATGGGACGCGTGTGCATAATACACAAGAAGTCCATGTCAGATCAGAAGAAAACACCCATTCTGTGCATGTAGCACGCCAGAGCTCCAGGAAATGTGTGTATGACATGGGAGAAGATGAGAAGGACTTGGGAGAACCCATTTTCCATTTCCGTGGAAGGAGTACTAATGACCTTCTTCTACTAGCTGATTAACAGGGGCTTGTCCAATTCTAAGCCGGTACACAAGATAATCATATCTACAGGAGAACACTCGCAGAAACCTTACAATCTAATAGTAAATTATAAAAGTGGTTTTTGTAAGCGGAAATTGCTTGTTCATTCCTGGCTGCCCAGACCCGAGTAGTCACACAGAACTATAATAATTGCACTGTTTGGCCTATTAGCTCAGGCTTCTTATTGGCTAGCTCTTACATCTTAAATTAACCCATTTCTGTTATTTTATATTTTACCTCGAGGCCTATGGTTTGTTACATCTTACTTCTTAGTCAACTCCAAGGCATCTGCCTCATTCAGCAGCTACATGGCATCTCTCTGACTCCACTTACTCTCTTTATCCCTTCCAGCCTGACTATATTTTGCCCTGCCATAGACCAAAGCAGCTTTATTCATTAACCAATAAAAGCAACACATATACAGTAGGACATCCCACATCATCTCCTCTTTTCTATCTAATTGAAATGGCAAGTTTTAACTTTAACATAATAAAATTATATATACACAACAATTATCAAGCAAGAATTATAGTTACAGTATTTTGCCCATTTCCATTTGGCAAATTAAGGAAAAATAGTCTATCATCTATCTTTGTGAGTGTAAAGTTTTATATCTAATAACTATCTGTCTTCAACTCTTCAAAGACCCCAGAAGGATATAATATTACCTGACTAAACAGGAAGTGCATTGTAAGCAACCCCCAATTACCAGAGACATCTTGCTGCCTGGACAGTCACCCAAAGTTCTTCTGTAACATTGGGACATCCATCTTCAACCTGCAGGCCTATAGTATCCAGCAGACTTTTCCGTGAAGCAGCAAATTTGAAGATCTGTTCTGCCTTGTAATGGCATAGTCCATCAGTTGCTTTCTTCTGTGTCCTGCAAGATGTCTGACAGTCTCTTTAATGAAGCAGGAACCCTGAAGGACCATCCCATCTTTTGGAAAGGTCAGCGGTCACTTTTCTGTGGGTCCTGCTTATCCAGTTCATATGTCATACCATCAAGCAGCCCAAGCAAGAGCAGTTTTTTGCCCAAATGGCTAGCCTTGTCACATTTAAGGCAAATTCCATAGTAAGTTTCTTCAATGCCCATCAACCTCTCAGAAATAATTAGTGCTGCAGAAGCAGGCATATATCACTGTCAAGAAAAGTCTAAGTTCTTAAAACATTTTAAATGCCATATTCTGTAGGTCTTTGAAGTGTTGAAGATTATCTAACTGAAATATATCTCTGTATATCTAGAAAACCTAACTAACGTGACTACAAGTTTGACTATTATAAATGATTATTAATCTATAATTTTTAATTATACATTACAGTTTTGAATGAGCTGTATAAACATAATACCTTAAACAAGAATAGAAATACACATACAACAAAATTGACCTTAAATTTGTATCAGTAAACCAAAGTCCATACCAATGTAAAGTATTCATTTCTATATCTTATCCCCCTTTAAATGAAAACTAACATTTATAAACAATCATTTTGGGAATGTGTTGTTTCTTCCAAACTGCTTTGTGTTGTTTCTTGGGCCAAGTTTTTTTAGGATTCACAGAGACAGGGGGGTCTTGTTCCATCAAACCACATTAGTCTGGAAGGAATCCATAGGCCCTCATCTTCTGTGGAAACAAAAGCAGAACCTCTTTTCCAAAGTAACATATCCTTAGACCCAAATTTTGATGTCAAGATACATATATGTTGGTTTAACTTTAGCCGCCCCC